AGGCGCTGCACACCTAGCTGCCACTCTATAGGTTTAAAAAGTTCAATTATTGATCATAGGGACTCTATTCGCTGCGGGAACAACCGTTTAACATCAGATGGTAGAAACTTGTGGCCGTCCGGCTGGACAGTGGTCGAGACATTCGTTGGTACAGATGAGATTAAAGACGCTGGCATGGATGAGGAGAGGCTATGGAACACTTTTAAAGGTAATCCAGCCATCACCTTGATAAAGAGCGCAGGTGGTATTGATTCCTTCCTTATACAAGAAGGCTATGGGCGCGAATTTGGCCTTTTGAAGCGCGTCAGATCGGGTACACTTGAGACAGGGCAGTCTCCTCACGAAAATGAGGGTTGCCGCACTGGTATTTGTCCGAAGCACAGTCTTATAGGTGATGAAAGTGTTTTGGGTTTGACTGGGTGGTCCGAATAGTCTTGGTGTTACATCACCCACACATGAATAGCTGGTATAGCTCGTCCAAATCTGCTATGTATTGTTTTTTTAAGCGAGCGTAATTTTATTCATGCTGCCATCTCGCCCTAAATGATAACCAATGCGGCCTAGGGCGAGGTGGTCCAAAACAAGATCGAGGTGGTCCGAATCAATTCCCTCTTGTCGCACTGTGGCACTAGCGATGCTAGGCAGTGCTGAGGACTGCTGTGCGCGGCGTATTAACGAGCTACAGAAGATGATAGATGGATGGAAAACTAGATAATTGAGAGGATAGGAGGTGGTCCTTTTATTGACTATCTGCAATGTGAGAGATCATTGTGGGTTGTGGTTGTTGGTTGTGGTTGTATCTTCTTAAGTGATCTCGCTCAAGCGATGGCTAAATAAGGCGCTAGATTAGTCAGGTGCACGTGACCTGTGACACCTCTCGTCGGTCATGGCCTGTCACGTGTCGGTCACCTGGCGAAGCCCGCCTAACCGGGCATGGCTGCAGATAATTAGCGGCCAAAACCGAGTAGGAATCAATCAAATCAATCAATCAATCAATCAATCAATCAATCAGTACAGTAGGAATCCAAATCAAATCAAATCAAATCAGAGGTACAATTGAATCAAAGGGACCTTTTTTGAAGAGCTTGGAAAACGAGTAGATCATCTACAGCAGGTGGAATCGCGCTATTGTCGACGCGCCGAGACCTTAACGCGCTAACACGTGGCTTGTGTACTATACCCAACCCCATCGGACATCAAGATGGTGGATGGAGAGGAGATAGTGGTGGTGAGCGCTTCAGAAGGGGTGAACACCAGGGGGAAGACACGTACAACATCTAAAAAGAAGGACCAAGCAGGAGCAAACGCCGCTATCCGCCTCCTAGAAACATGCCAGAAGCTAGTCCAAAGCCAGCAGTCTAAGGGCAAAACAAAGATAATTAGTATTGACAGGAGCCTTTTTGAAGAGCTAATCAACCGAGTCAAATAGTGTGAAAAGATTACTGAGGATAGCCTCAGTTTCAACAGCATAACAGTTAAGCAGTATCTTGAAACCTTCGAGACCAATCTAGTGGAAAGGATCAACTCTTCTGTTATAAACAAGCTATCTGTAGCATTTGAAAATGCGCAGGTCGGTACAGAGGAAAGGCTGGCAGCCACAGTCGAAAAGTCAATCCAGAATGTAAAAATACCAGCGCCTACATGGGCTGCCGTTGCCTCACGCGGTATTGCAAGCTCCGCCAGCATCCCACTCTCGCAATCTATAGGAAGTAGCAGCTAGAGCACAATTAGATCTACCA